CAAATCTAACACTGTAAAATGACTTTTGGAAAATTTAAAATTCAATTTTTTTCCAAAAAAGAATTTCGTCAAAACTAACAATATCTTTTTCGTAAATGAAGGATTTGATAAATTTTTTAATAATATAATTTATTTCAAAAATTTGAGTGCAATTTTTTTGTGCAATGCTTTTCAATACCTCATACAATTTTCTGTGAAGGAATCAAATGCGCACTGACAATGTAGAGATCAAGACCAGTCTAAAACTAAAAATCCTCAATCAATGCTGGGAAATGTTCAATCTTAGGAAAAAAAAAATTCTTTTCGTTGATTTAACGTTGATAACTTCAGTGTCATATGCTGCATTAGTTAAAGATCCTCGACACAAAGAAGAAACTTTCGCTTCTACAATGTGGGAGCAGAGAATTTAAAAGAAGTTTTAATTAAATTTTTTGAAGTAATTTATAAAAATAATTATTGTAATATTATTTCTAAAAAAGTAACAAATTGGACGATTCACGAAATACAGAAAAAAAACAATGAAAGTCTTTTTGAATGCGAATCTATATCAATCTGAATTCTATTTGGAATTCTATATGGCACTAAAAGCAGATAGAAAGCAGATAAAAATCAGAACATTTTAGAATGGTGGAAAGGAAAAGACCAATAAATAAACATTTATATTCTGTACATACAATGTTTTATTTTATCAGTGCTTTTAAGGTTTAGACTATAGACGAAACCATAATTATAAAAGCGAGACCGAGACGAGAGTCACTAAAGTCTTTAATCTCGTCTCGTGTGCAGCCCTATTCATTTTAAAAAGACAATACTGTCAACTCTTAACTTTTAAAGGAAGCAACAGACACCGAGTAACTGATGTTAATAAATACCAATAGAAATTTAAATCAATGACTAATTTTTAATTCATGATTTGCTTAAAAAATGCATATATGGTACATTACGATCAATATCATGTGGTAGTTATGGAAATAGTGTAATTCATTGTTTATTAAAGGTAGCGAATATATGTACATATAGTATACATGCGCATGTTTAACAAGCGATTTCATATTAAGTTTGTCGAGTAAATAAGGTAATAAATAAATTAGAAAGATAATAAGCGTGTATCAAATATAAATATATCTATGAAACATGAACAGTTGAATGTCGAAATAAATTGAATTTCTATTATATATATAGAAGATAATACTTTTGTTGGAAGTATATATATATAGTAAAGTGCCTGTTTTTTTAATGAAGAGACATACGTCGAGATCGGTGGTGACTCCTTCTTTTGTTTTGCGCTTACAAGCGATTTGGACGAATGAAGAACCGTTTAAGAAGAGAAAATTGCGATAACGACGGATGTTAAGTGCCGTGAAAGAAGAACGACAACGAAGGCGAGGCAGAGTGAAACAAGATTGCACAAAGGGAAGTATATACAGTGGTCACCCGGATTCCAGAACTCGATGTCGTGACTTGGCCATGAATTGGCATTCTTTTTTTCTTTCATTTTTTTATACCCTTTAGCGTCTTATTCTTACAAACCACTCGCACTTTTTTTTTCCTATATAAAAAGCATCTTGTTGTTGTTACTTTTTTTATATATATTTTTTTAATTCTATACACTCCCCCTCTTATATGCGTCGTTCCGCAAAAGCAAACACCCATAAAACCTCGACAGAACCTCGGAATCCACTTATATTTGGAAAAATTAATGTTTGTCCTTTTGGCCCTGTAATCCTTTTTTTTATTGTGGAGAGAGGAGTGTTTCTTGTTTTTGATATCTTTTCATATGTTAAGTGTTTTTCTTTTTTTTTTAATTAAGAGGGCAGAGATTATATTAGACTTTAATAATTATAAATTAGTCGTAGAGTCGATTAAAATTTTATTGCACATGGTGAAAGTTGAATACATATATATACAATATAAGGATTTTAAGAGAAGGTCGTATAATATACTAAAAAAATTGAGGGTCTGTGGAAAAGGATAACTGAGCTTATTTTTTCACTCTATCTTTTTTTTATCAGTGGCGACAAATTTTTAAACTAATTTTTGGAAATGAACAAATTTAATTAGTATTTTCCATTCCTCTTCATTGTTAATATAATTATTAACAAAAGTTAATGTTGAGTTTAGTCAACTCCGAAACGTTAAAATCTTTCGTATTTTTCAATTATACACCTGTTTTGTTTGTTGTCCTCGGTTGTCCTTGTGTGATGGTTATAATTATTTATTGAATATTAAAGGACGTTAAGGATGATTATTATAATATTATTATTAATACACTCTCTAAACCTGAATTAGTAAAAATTTTAACTAATTTTAATTAGTGACTCACTTTTTGCTTTTGAATTAATAAAATTTAACTAATTCAAACGCAAAAAGTGAGTCACTAATTAAAATTAGTTAAAATTTTTACTAATTCCGGTTTCCTCTAATTAATTATGTAAAATGAATTTACTTTTAGACGAATATTCATTTTTCGAACTAAAATGTGATCGAATTTCTTTTTAAACAAATTTTTATTTAACATAACATATATATATATATATATATATATATCGAATTTTACAGAATAGTAAAAGTACAGAATTCTTAAAACGCTAAATTTTTGTTTGTCCAAACAAACAATCAACAGAAAGATTTGGGCACGATTTTTAAAATTGTCCAATCAGAAATTGTCAAGAAAATCATGATTGGTGAATTTTAAAAATCGCGCCGAAATCTTTCTGTCAATTTTTTGTTCGGCTATTTGCAATATTGAACAAATAAAAATTCAATATTTAAGAATTCTGTTAAGTGAAAATTCTTTAAAAAAGAAATTTTGTCAAATTTTAATTCAAAAAATGAATGTTCGTTTAAAAAATAATTATATCTAATAAAATTCTTTAAAATGAAAATTCTAACTAATGATTTCTATGGGATAATCATGCGCCTCTATTTTTTAATATGCACTTAAATTTTCATCAATTCGTATTTTTTCTTTCATTTTGTTTTCCAATTATTTATCGCATAGAAAAATTGATCCTTCTAAAGGAAAAGGAAAAAAATTTATAGATATATATCGAAGATGTTGAAAATATATTTATAGGGTTTGCCAGTGTTTTATTGATAGCGTCGATTTATTTGCTAGAGATTTCCGTCGTGCGATAGAAAATCGTTTCTTTTCATATTATATATATATATATATATATATATATATACTTGCGAAGAACACACGAAAGAGAATTTGAATGCGCGGAATGATGTATATGACCGCATTTAATCAGATCTATTGCTTCGACGATTCACTCGCATCACCCACTCTCTACCTACTCCTTTCTTTTATTGTTAGAAAACAACTCATTTACAATACAACAATGTCGTAGAAAATTTTAGAATTTATATATATATATTCTCTATAAAAGAAACATCTTCATTAGTTTTTGCATTTTAAAAAGAAATGAAAAATGAAGATTACAAATTTTCTTTAAAATTTCAACTTGTGTCTTATTATATTTATTTGTATAGAAAATCTAGGACACAGGTAGTATTTTTTTTTTATTTATCTTTTCTCACGACTTCCGATATTAATATACATATAAATAATATGTAAATTTAGAAATCGGAGGATAATTGAATAGATCGTCATCATACAGTCATCAAAATAGTGTAATTTTCTAACATATAGGTGTGACCTCAATTTTATCGATTTCATGGTGAAGGAACGACACAAGGTGTGTTTGAGATATATTAGTTAATTTCCCGTTCTTAATTTACTTTTTATACGTTCTGTGAAAGCATATTGATGTCGAAGAAGTAGATTACAATTTTTTTTTTCTTTAATAATAATATATCTCTAATAAAAGCCCTTGAGAAGGGGATTATAATTGAACGCGCGTCATTCGCGAATCAATTGTCTATAGGATTATCGATGTATTGCTCAAGACAATAATTTTTTCAATGATAATAGTTTTCCCGAATAACAAGATATGTCTAGAGATAAAAGCTCATTTGTTCTTGCACTTGAATGTAATAAAATGTACGAGTTCAATTTCAAGGCGCATTTAAGAATATCAAATTTCTTCATTTTTCTTTTTAATAATCATATATCGGTAATTAAAAATTTTATTTTTTTTAATGTTACAATAATTGATATTACTTTTTAATAAGCATATTTTCAGAGTTTTTATTATTTTATATGTTGTATATGACGCGCTATATATGAAGAAATGGACCAAAGAAGCAAAAAAATAGTAGGTTATGTTTATGATAGTTCTTGATTAAAAGTTCCTTTTCAATTATGTAAAATCTTAAATCAAAATCACTTTTTATTTTGGATGTAATGTAATGATACAAATCAATTATAGTTTGTATTGAAAATTAATCCTCTTTCATTTTCATTCATTTTCCATCAAAACTTTAGTAAAAAAAAGAATTACATATTAATAATATTTTACTAAAAATTAGTAAAAATTTCTACTAATTTTAACTAGTGAAGCTCATATTAAGAGAGTATAATATTATATACGCATATATGTGACGCTCTCTGAAGAAAGATAGGCCTAAGAAGCAAAAAATTATTTATAGGTTATGTTTATGAAGTTTGGAGTTAAAATACATAAAGAGGAGCAACTCTTAATATAAACTGTTGATGTTTAAGTCTTTATTACATCTAAAATAATCAATACCCAAGTGCGAAAATCAACACGGCCCAATATCGGCCCAGTATTGGCAACGATGGCGCCGAGTGTTGGCAGCAAGACTGGGCCGATAACTGGGCCGACTCTTGGATGTTTACCACGGCTGGACGTCGGCGGCCGACAATCGGCTGCCATTATTGACCTAATATTGGTGCCGATTCTTGGTCGAATGTTAGTTTTTGAGTGTCGGCCGACATTCGGCAGCCAAATCTCGGCAGACATTAATGGCTCGATCTTGGCGACTAATAATGGGACAATATCGGCTCAATTATTTTCAATGAAATAAATTATTAATTTTTAATAGTTAATTAAAATAATAAAAATACGAAAAAATTAAGTAAAATACGTTTTATTTTTTTTATCTTTTTGAAGGTACAATAAGGAGCTTACAATGAGCTTATTAAAGTTAACGCAATGTTTCAGGTTCTTCTGCGTCATTTTGGCCATTTTGGTCCAATTTGCAATTTTCTGCAAAGTTTTTTTCTGCCTCCTTCATCTCGTCAGAATCGTAAGCTGACAGAGAATCGTCACTAAAATTGATTAAAATTGACCATTTTTAATTAATAAACTGAATTTTTTTAAAGTTAATATATTTGAGTTATTTAAAGGGAAAAAAAGAAAAAATAGACAAAATAATTTTTCAATTGACTTTTTTAAGAATAATCTCAAGAAATTAAATTATATTATAAATTTATTAAACATTTACCTCTGAGAAGCTACAATGGGCAACACAAAATTATCAACATCAACTGCAGATGGAACAGGTGGTGAATCTGATTTTTCTGGCAAAGGGAGATTCTCTGACAAACACACTTTTCCCATATTTCGATCCGATCTGGAAAAAATTATTTCTCATTGTAAGATACACATATATAATTGTAAAATTCATAAGATAAAAATAATTATTTTTATATTGTATATAATATAACTTACTCATATTGTGGAATTAAATTATTGTCCATTGTTGAACATGCTGACTCCGAACTGACAAAATCCGAAGTCGATCCACTTAGAGACAAGTTCATCAATTTATCTGGCGGCTCGAATTCATCACTGCTATCTTTCTTGAGTAATCGTTTTAAGGCCCGATACTTCACTGACTTGTAACTGGTCATTTTTTTGGCATATATTAATTACTTATAAAAAGTAAATTACTCAGCAAACAACAGTTTTAGGTTATGTGTTACAGTTTCAGGTTACGTAAACACATGCGCATGTCTTGTAGCACTCGTAAACAACGATAAACACTTGGCAGATTTTTTTTGCCATTATTGGCCCGAACTACGTCGCACTACTGGCAATTATAATTCGCCATTATATACATCGACCCTTGAATAGTAGAAAATCAGTGCCAATGCTGAGCCAGTATTCGGCCGAGACACGTCGCGATATTGGCAATGCTTATTTGCCATTATAAATTCTAAAATAATTAATTATCGGTGCCAATATTATCCCAGTAATGGGCCAAGATTTGCCTCGTTATTAGCGATGTTAATTTGCCATTATTGGTTCATTATTTGGCCCGTTAATGTACCATTATTGGGCCAAAAACTCCGGCTAGTCACAGCAAATTAGAAATAGTGAGCATCAGTGCCAATGTTGAGCCAGTGATCGGCCGAGACACGTAGCGATATTGGCAATGCTAATTTGCCATTATAAATCCTTGAATAATTAAGGATCGGTGCCAATGCTTAGCCAGTGATCGGCCGAGACACGTCGCGATTTTGGCAATGCTAATTTGCCATTATAAATCCTTGAATAATTAAGGATCGGTGCCAATGCTTAGCCAGTGATCGGCCGAGACACGTCGCGATATTGGCAATTCTTATTTTGCCATTATAAATTCTATAATAATTTATTATCGGTGCCAATATTATCCCAGTAATGGGCCGAGATTCGTCTCGTTATTAGCGATGTCAATTTGCCATTACTGGTTCATTATTTGGCCCGTTAATGTGCCATTATTGGGCCAAAACTCCGGCCAGTATCAGCAAATTAGAAATAGTGAGCATCAGTGCCAATGTTGGCCCAGTAATCGGACGAGACACGTCTCGTTACCGGTAATTTTAATTTGCCATTATTGGCTCCTTACTTGGGTCGTTAATGCGCCATTATTGAGCCAAGATTTGGGCCAGTCTCGTCAAATAAAAAAAAAGAACATCGGCACCAGTAAAGGCATAGTAATGGGACGAATTTAAACTCCAATATTGGCCCAGTAATGTTAGCCGAAATACGGCTGACATTACTGGCCCAATATTGGACCGTATTGGCAGTCCTGGCAATTCGCACTTGGGTAAAAGTTAATTTTGATTTTACATAATTATAAAAATGTACATTTAATCAAGATAAAACTATCATAACATAACATAATTATTATATCATAATAATTTTGTAATTGTAATTGTTAATTTAAAAAGAAATAACTGAAATAAAATTTATGTTCTTAATGCAAAAAAAACAATAATAATAATGTATATTTAGAAGAAAATAATTATCTTTTTTTTCCGTTCGATCTCTTCAGTGAAATTAGAACTTTCGAAATATGTTTTAGTACAGTTTTTAGTTTCCGAAATGGCTCAACTGCGGCGAGTTGCAAAATTTCTGCGAGAGAAGTTTTAAATTGTTTTCATTGTCCCTAGGCGAAGAAAATAAACGACCTCGACGGCGGCAACTTTCACAAGTTCACCCGATACCTTTTAACATTATATATATGTATATAAGACGCGCATTTACGTGCGAGTTTAAAGAATAACGCGAGCACTCAAATGGCTTAAACAATGAAAATGACATTTAGGAAACTTTTATTATTCATAAAAGACAAATTATAACCACACCTTCAATATATATATATTTGCGAATATATTGTTTCTTTTTTTATTCTTGTAAATTTTCTTTTACTTTCATTCATTCAATTAATAACATTGTTTATTGTATTTAATATTTCATTTATAGTCAATTATATTCTTCATACATAGAATTTACTTTATAGTTAAATATATACATATATATATATTAAAATGAAATTGATATATGTATAAAATCGTGTTTATTTATATAATGTATGATCATAATATATTTTTTGTATAAATATATGAAAAAAATTGCTTGCCGGATTTAGTCGGACTTTATTGCTCTATACTACTTGAAATATGGGACGCGATGTCTGACCATGCGCAGCTACTACTGAATTAGAAAGTAAAGCGTCAATTATTTCAGTAGGGAAACGGAAAAAAAATCAGACTCGCTTATTATGCATTAACTTTTTATGTTACAGTTGGAGTAGAGAAAAGAAATTTTTATTAAATAGGAAACTCATCATTTTAATAAATAATTACAATATACTGTTCATATACATTAATCACAAAATCGTGTTATAAAAGAAAATAAACTACGATACAATTTTAACTTAACATCAATAAAAAAAAAAAAGTTAAAAAGAATTTATTTTGCAGTTTTTTATTATTATACCGCGTTACGAATAATATATAATTATTTTTTATAGATGAATTTTCATTTTTCGAATTGGAATTTGACACAATTTCTATTTAAACGAATTTTTATTGTACGCAAAATTTTTAAAACGCCGAATTTTTATTTATCCGAAATTTCAAATGGCCGAAGAAGCAATCAACAGAAAGATTTCGGCGCGTCTTTTAAAATTGACCAATCACGATTTTCTTGACAATTTCTGATTGGTTAATTTTAAAAAACGCGCTGAAATTTTTCTGTTAATTGTTTGTTAGGCCATTTGCAATTTCGGATAAATAAAAATTCGGCGTTTTAAGAATTCTGCGTACAATAAAAATTCGTTTAAATAGAAATTGTGTCAAATTTTAATTCGAAAAATAAAAGTTCGTCTGAAAAATAATTACAATCTAACAAAATTCTTTTAAATCAAAATTCTAACCAATGATATTTATGGGATTTATGGGAGGCCCCTTCGTTTAACTAGAATATATTTTTTTTAAATCTTCATGAAAAATAAGAAAAAACGTATTTTTTTTATTTCTTATAATTTTTTTATACGTCACTTAATTACTATAGCAATGGAGTTTTATTGATGTATTATAATATTATAAAATGGTATTTTAGAAAAGAAAAGTATACTTATTTAATTGAAAGAAACAGAATAAGTGAAAAATTTATAAAATATAAAAAACAATTTTTAGGTTATGTAGCCGTTTAACTTTCCGGTTTGTAAATTTACAACTTTACTTCACTTTTTTCCAACGTGCAATGTAATAAAATTACACTGGCATTTTTTGGTGTTTTGTGGGTAAAAATCAGAAACGAACATAACCTATATTGAATTGAAATCACCTGATTGGTCCAGGCCAAAATACCATTTCCATAGCAACCGTTTTCATAGCAACCATTACCATAGCAACCATAGCAATTCACAAATAATATAATTATAAAATATTTATTATATACAAATAACTTTTGATCTGAATTTAAAAAGCCACGAAACCGTATAGATGTAGACGCTTTGCGCCTGCTTCTTTTCTCAATTTTTTGAAATAATTAAATTTATTAAACTTTTAATAAAATAATTTTAATAAATTATGAAACATAAATGGATAATTAAATTTAATTGACAAAGAATAGAAGCAACAAAGATGGCCAAAGGCCGTCGGAGGCGCTAGTGTACCTATATATAATTTTGAATGAATTTTAAAATTTAAATGCAAATTGCTTTCTAAAATTTTAAATTCTATCACTATAATTCAAATTGTAATCAAATTCAAATGAATTCCAATAAAAATCTATAAATATAAATATCGTAAAAAAATTGTACCAAAACTACCTTTCACTTTTAATGTATATTATAAAAGTGACTTTTTTTATTGAGAATATTATCCTTAACAATAGCAGCGTCTAATGAACAACTATATATATATGCCAGGAATTTGTTACACAATAAAGTAAATACATTCCAGTTTGAAAAGTCGTTATGTGTGCTATGATTTTCATTTTTACAAGCTAATGCTTTATTTATTGGGTAACTTCATATTCTCCACCCTCGCAAAAGAAGGAGGATCGTTTCTCTCTAGTCACATGAAATGTTATATATATGTACGCAACTTAAATGTTATATACCTGGGAAAGAAAACATGTAGACAAAATCGTTTCTGTATATAATTTATGTGCGTATTCTTAATATATATATATATATATATATATATATATATATAAGTATAATAATATTTTACATTATTAGTATATTTTGAGGCCAGAAAAAAGAAGACAAAAGTTGGTTATGTGGTTAGTGAAAAAGGAAAGAAAAAAAGAAAAAAAAATTGTCGAGTATTGTACATAATAACAAACTATATGGTGGATAATTATTATTCTGAAGAACGTAGGTGTAACGTCTCTATATACTTTACGGTTGTGGCTATTCTATTTTGTTTAAACCAAAACCATTAATGTAAGAAGCCCATAAAAGGGTTGGGCTTGAATATTTTATGGTTTGTGCAATGTTGTTAATTTGCGAGAATCCTGGTAGGTCTGAAGTTACTTCGCGGATTTTTATCCCCTTCAAGGGCATCATTTTTCCTTGAAAGTCTGAAAAATCTCTACTTTGCGGTTCCAATATTTTATGCTGTATAGGAGGCATGAGAAAATTTACTCTGTTGTCATGCTTTCTATATATTATAATATTAATGTATATAAAAAAATTCAAGAATTCTAAATGAGCCAAAAGTTTTGAACGTTCATATGAACGAAATTTTTCAAAACTTTCGGCTCATAATTCTAACCGACTATTCAGAAAAAAGTTTTGTTTTAATCAAATGCACCATTTTTTTGTATTAATACAATTCTTTTGTTATTTCAAATAAAATTTATTTGATTCTAATAAATATTTATTTCATCTAAATAAACGTTTTGTTTATTTTAATAAATTTTTCGAACAAAGAAAGAATTTGATTGAGCCAAATAAACTTTTGATTGATGCAAACAAAAGTTTGGTTATAACTTTTATTTAGTTGTTTCAGAAAAAATCTTTTTCTGAGAACGTTGTTCATTTCGAGTTTTCATCTGACAGGTTATTGGGATGTCTATTACTACATTGAAAAAAAAAATTTATTTGAATCAAATAATCGGTTGACTATTATCAAATAAATATTTACTTGAATTAAATAATTTTTATTTA